TATATATATATATAATTAAACATATTTATTATTATTATTATTATGAAATTTACTTAAATTATTGTTCGCACATTCGTGCATTTCTGATTAATTTTTAAATTAACTTATTTACTTAGATATAATTAAATAAAATGATAAATGAATATTTTAAAAGAAAAAAAATTTCAAACAAACAAACAAACAAACAAACAACAAAATTATTATATGAAATATTTCAATAAATTTCTACAAATAATGATCAAAGAGTATAACGAATGACTTATTAAATGTTTTATTATTAAGGAGGAATTCCAGAGTACACAAGACTACCCCTAGCAAAATTCGATTTCGGAACATCGGTGGTCTGGGATTATTTAAAAACAATTCAAAGTAGAACGAACAAATCTAAAAATATAAGAAACAATAATACACTGGAGAGAGGAGGGGGTCACATTGTTTTTTTTTTTTTTTTTTTTTTTTTTTTAAAAGAGACACAATCGTCCTGCACATGTGTGTGTGTGTGTGTGTGTTACATCTTTCTCTCTCTTTCTTTTTCCCCCTTTTTATTTCGCGCATTCTATCAGTTTTATTATTGCACATCACACAAAGATTCTCATACACAAAAACGAGGGTGTGTATACAGCAGTTTTTAGGGTATTGGGGAGGGGGGGAGTCAACGATAAAACGAGTTAACATTCGATTTGTTAGCTTTGTTCTCTTTCTCTTTTTCGATTTTTTTTTTTTTTTATTAATCAATCACAAATCGATTATTTTTTTATTTGAATACAGGTAACTCGTATCGTAAACCCCTCCCCTCTCTTATCAAGGGACTACTAGCTAACATTATTTTTTTTCGTATTATATATAATATACATATATATCTATGCATATATATATATATATATATTATTTATGTACGATCGGATCTAAATGCTACGTCATATAAATTTCAAGGTACAGGAAGTATCTACAAAGTTTTTTTGTTTTTTTGTTTTTTTGTTTTTTGTTTTTTGTTTAATGCTACCGCATAAAGTGACGTGTGTGTTGTGTTAAATTCTTCATCATGTATTTGACGTTGTTGTTATAATATTATAATTAACGTTGAGATGTTCTTTTTGTTGTCAGCTGTTATTGTTGTTATTGTTGTTGTTGTTTTTAACGACTACGTTCCCGTTATCATTTGTTTTTTTTTTTTTTTATTCATTTTCTCAATTTGTTTTTATTATTACTAATACGCACCTTCTAACTCTAGGATATTAAAACTACGCGAGATACCTTTATTTTTTTCTTTCATCGTTTCTTCAATTAGCTTGTTTTTCTTTTTCTTTCTTTCTTTTATTTTTTATTTTTAATTAGATTTTTTTCCCCGACTAATTAGAAGATCTTACGACAAATCAACGGTATACAGAATAATTATATATATCAGACGTAAGACCACAGGCATTTTAACGACACAAGATGTTGTTGTTGTTGTTGTTGGTTATTTTCTTTTTTTATTTTCTTTTTCTTTTACCCATCTTTTTGTTCCTTTTTTTTATCATCAATTTAATATAATAATGAAATAAATATATATTTTTATTATATATATATATGTATATTTATATGTGTATGTATAATATAATATATTTATATATGTATATAGATTATAGTTTCAATATAATCGCTCATACGGAAAAATGTGATGAATTGGGGGAAGTAAGGGGCTGGGGAAAGGGGGACAATAATAATAATAATGTCTTAAACATTAACATGGATATGCATTATCGATTACAGTTAATAATACTGGCAGCTTAAAGTACAACGTGTCATATTACACTGAAAACCTAATTCTAACGCGAAATGGTAGGGAGTGCCAAATATTTCTACTTATCTCTCTCTCTCTCTCCCTCTCTCATTCTCTCTCTTTCTCTTTCTCTTTCTATTCTCTACCCATTTTTTTTTTACATAGTATTTTATTTCACGAAAAATTAGATTTCCTTTTTAGATGAATGTTTAGAAAAGCGTAAGGAGAAAAATAGTTTTTGACGCTTTTATGTGTTTCTTTTTATTTTTTTTTTTTTTTTTTTTGCCGGCGCCTGACACTCTCTGGACGAATTATAGAATTATTAATAATAATAATAATAATAATAATAATTAAAGCAAACGTGTAATTTTTAACGTGATTTGGTCGGTATTATTTATTTATTTATTTTTTAATTTGCAACAGCACTCGCTACCAATCGTTGATGGAAAAAAAAGATTATGATTTTAAAATCTAAGTTTTCTTTTTTCTTTTTTCCCCCCTTATAATCAAATATATCAATGAATGAATACATTTTCATTGTATTTGTTTTTTTTTTTTTTTTTTTTTAATAATGTTTTAAAAGATCACTCAAATATTTTCTTTTTTCTTTTCTCTCTTTTTTTTATTATTATTATTATTAGTAGCCGACTAAGAAAAAATTCGCACTCACAACCGTCGTGAATCGAATTTACTTCGACAAAAATTATTGTAACGCTCACACACGGACGATCTCCTTATTATATTGTTTTTTTCTTTTTTTTTTTTTCGTTTTTTTTTTTTTTTATTGTTGTTTCTAAATATTAATTCTTCAGCGAGCAATCGATACAAGTCGTTGCATGTTTTTTTTTTTTGTCTGACTACTGAATAAGCTGCTTCATTTTTTTTATTTTTATATCTTATATACTTATACTTATATTCTTATTCTTATTTTATTTTATTTTTTTTTTTTTTTTTAATCCTTAAACTTATTATTCCACTTCTTGTATTATCATCATTTCTCTCTCACTTTCTTTTCTAACATATAATCGTAGTAAATATAATAATAATAATTATAATAAGAATAATAATAAGAATAATAATAATAATAATGACAATAATAATTATTAATATCGTTCGTAAAATCATTTCGGTTTCTTCTTTATCCTTCTTCTTCTTCTTTCTTTTTTATTTTTTAATTTTTCTTTTCCCCCTTTTTCTTCTTTTTATAAGAGAATATTGCACAATTTATATTAGCAAACAACAGATGTAAAGGATTAAATGTTGGAATAATTAAATGTAACAGATCACAGGTGAGAAACTAAGCTTATACTTCATCCACTGTGTAACAAATTAATATCACATGAAAAAATATGTATCGGTTGCCCTCACTCTTCATTTCTTTCATTTTCTTTTAACACATTGAGTACCACCACGTCAGTCATTGATGTCTGACACTGAACTTTTCTCTTCAAGTTGTGTCAAGCACCAATGTCTGACACTCAATTCAGACACTCAACGTGACCTGACGAACATTTCCATAAGAATTCAACGTGGCACTCTCAACGTGTTCATCTTCATTCTTCTTCATCTTCAATTTTTTCTTATTCTGTCACCTCTACTTTTCTTCATCTCATCATCACATTCGTAAAAATTCTTTCGAAAAATTACAAATTGTCGGACGGATGACTCGGCTGATACGAGTCATCGATGATTCGGACTGACTGACCGCTGATCCTTTTTTTTTTTTTCTTAAAAAAATTCAAATAAAATAATCAAACCCTTTTCTCATTATCGTCTATCAATTTTTATACAATTTCACCATAAAAAGTGAATAGTTTTTGTTTTTTTCAGAGGTTAAAGGAGTAGGATGGAAGAAGGGTGGTGATGGTGGTGGAGGGAGGAGCTTTTCTTTTTTTTTTTTTTTCGTTTTATTGACAATTTGTTGTTGTTTTTTTTTTTTGCATTTTTTTCTTTTTTTTTGTTTGGTTAGTTTGGTTTTTTTTTTTTTATCAAATCACACAACATACGACACACTCAAAAATCAGCGATCTAAGTCTAATCACTTATCAACGGTGACGGTTTTTTCGTTTTTTTTTTTTTTTTTTTTTNTTTTTTTTTTTTTTTTTTTTTTTTTTTTAACTAAATTCTTCGACTAAATTATTATTAATAATTATTATATTATTATTATTATGTTAAGAGATTAGGATTTAAGCTTTGGCATTTATTATCCGCGGTTGTAATTTTTTTTTTTTTTTATTATTATTATTCCGCGTCTTCCTTCAACTCCATCTTCTTCTTCTTCTTCTTCTTCTTCTTCTTCTGGTTTTTTTTTCTTTTTTTTTTTTCTTTTTCCTTTTTTGCAATCCCGTTCATGGAAAAAAGGATACAAATTATTTTTACATCACCATCAAATATATATATATATATATCTATATATTTGTATATTCCCATAAATTGGAAAGGAATAAAACACATTGCACCATTTCATCTCTCCCGAAACAATTTCTCATTCAAGCAATTAGAATTCATAGGGTGGGTTTGTGTTTGTGAAAAATCCATAGTGTTTTTTATTTTTTTTTTTATTCTGGTTATTATTCCTTAGTATTTATATTCCCAAATCGTTAAACAATTAATTATTAATTAATCGAACGATTTTCAGGAACAACATTTTGTTTGCTTTTTTTTTCCTATTACAATAGCCTCGGTATATAATTGGGTACTTTTTTGTTTTTTTTTTTTTTCGTTTAGAAATTATCATTAAAACATCATCCCCTTCTTATTTATACAATTATCAAAGATTCCCTTTATTGATTTTTTTTTTTTATTTTATATTTTTCTTTCAATTGTTTAATTCCAAATTCTGATATCCTGATGATGACGTTTTTCGTTCATTCGTTCATTCGTTCATTCGTATTTAAAGAAAAAAACTGACAATATCAGCAATTCAGCATTTAGCATTGAACAAATGGAATCTTCGTTTTTATATTTATCCCAAGTTGTTTTTTTTGTCAATAATTAATTAATTAATTAATTATTATTTTATTATTAAGTATTTTGTTCTTCCTTTTATTTTTTATTTTTTTTTTTTACTCATTTTTGTTATTTGATTTTTCTTTTCTTCTTCTTCTTCTTCATCATCATCATATCTTTTCGGTATACACATCTCGTTCCTTTTTCTTTTTCTTTTTCTTTTTTTATTAAAGATCAACTTTACTTTAGTTTGCTAATAAAACATTCATTCGTTGTCCAACGATCGAAAAATCGTCGTCGTGTTTTTTTTTTTTTTTTAATTTCATGGACGTTACAACGATCGTACGTACACGGAGGTAGGTTTTTATTTTTTTTTTTATTTTTTCATCATCAATGTTGGTTTTTTTCTCTCTCTCTTTCATCGTCGTTTTCCTCTTTCTTT